GCTTGAGCCCAGGAGTTTGAGGTTGCTGTGAGCTAGACTAACGCCATGGCACTCACTCTAGCCAGGGCAACAGAGTGAGATTGTCTCAAAAAAAAAGTTTAAACAGGTTATCAAAACCAATACCAAGAAGGTCAGTGAGTGAAATAACATGACTCAGGGGATAGCTTAAATACCTTAGTTCATACTTCAATTTAAACTTCTCAGGGCCAGGAGAAGTGGCTCATGCCTGTAATCCTACCACTTTGGGAGGCCAGAAGGGAGGATTGCTTGAGGCCAGGAGTTCAAGACCAGCCTGGGCAACACAGCAAGATCTTGTCTCTACAAAAAATTTAAAAATCAGCTGGGTGTGGTGGCATATACCAGACACTATGAACCAAACATGGAAACTCAAGAACACCAAAGGGGCAAAAAGAAAAAAAAAAATCTTATCCTCTGACAGATACATTGGTAGGTGGTAACTGTTGAGACAGTCACATTATACTTTTTCCTGTCCTTTTCTGAAAATCATAACATTTCACTATCAAAATAGAGGTCTTTAACAGTATTCTAAGGGACCTACAACAATATTGATAATGTAGCCTCCATTCAAGTGCAATTAATGTTGGGAAGCCCTGACATTTTGAGTTTGTCTTCCTGATTCTCTATCCTTCTGGGCCCTGGTCACGTGACAAGGGATGATGGAACAAGAAATCTAGAATGTATACTTGTGATTCTGAAATGAAATTAAAAGACTCAGGGACACAGTATTTTTCTTATTTTTCTGAAAAGAGATGAATCTTTAGCACTTAACAAAGGTGCTGCCTTCCATGATGAAAACATGATGCTGGCATGCTGTTATGAGGAGACTTCTAAGAACTGTTCAAAATAATTTGAATAGTCAAAGAAAATTATTGTTTCCTATAATGTAAGAAAAACAAATTATAAAATAGATAAAGAAAAGGATAACCAGTACCATGAGAGCTCTAAAAGCTTATAACTTAGGACACGTGACAAGGTAGGAAAATGCATCCGTGACAGTATGAGAAGACTAAACTTTAACTTAATGTGAAGATTAAATGAAATTATGTGAAATGCTTAGCACAGAGCCAGGAATACAGTAAACATTGGATCAATGGTAGCTCTATTATTAAAGTGTGAAACAATGGAATAAACTACCTTACCAAAGTAGTTACTAACAGTTCCTATTAGTGGAAGCAAAAGCAAAAACTAGTCAGTGGTACTGGGGATTAGAGTACTAGAGGCATACAGCTAAGCTCTCCCAAATATACAACTGTAGAATTCTATCCTAATATACTGATCCTAAGATTCTAGAATCCTGCCCTACAATTATGCTGTCACAAATCAATCACTATTTCAGAACCAAACCTGTTCATTCGTTTATAGTAGGGACTTCTTGGTCCTACAGAAGATAATCTGTATCTTGGTCTTGTGGGAGAAGCTGGGCCACTATAAAATATGTTGCGCTTTCTCTGATGACGAGGTTCTAAAAATAGAAATATATATAAGACATATAAATATGTATGAAGATAATTTTGCTCTTCATCTAAATACTTACAAAGGCGTTGCCTTCCATGAAAGTACTAGTAAATATCTACTATAGAATATTTTGCTGTTCTTGTTTTAAATCATTTATGTCTGAAGGGTTGCTGTTGAAAATATACATAACACAGACACCAACCAACCAAAACACACACTGGCCATAAACAACCATTGTGATTGTACAGATACATAACAGATAATTATCAACCCTGCATGTAAATGCTCACGAGTATTAAAATATAATGTTAACATAAATCAAAAGCAGTCTTATCTATACAAACTGACAAAATAGAAAACTGTACAATCTATCTAAAATAAAGACAGAAAATTTCAAAATAGCCCAATTATTTATTTTGCTCAAGGCTAACATTTAACTTTCTTTGGAGAAATTATTTCTTGCAACTTTAGGATAGGTTAAGACAACAGTCATGAATATTCAGCAAAATGAAAACATGAAAAATACCAAAAAACAAAATAACAGGAAGGACAATAAAGAGAAAGCTAATATATTTTCTTCTGGAAAAAATATGTACAGCACTTACTTTCCAATGGAGCCTGATAGTAAACAGCAGCCTTTCTTTGTCTAAGATAATAGCGTTTCTGATTATCTTCTTCTCCATCTTCTTCGTCATCATCGTCATCATCGTCGTCGTCATCGTCGTCGTCACCATCATCATCTTCTTCTTCATCATCATCATCTTCATCTTCACCATCATCTTCATCTTCACCATCATCTTCATCTTCACCATCATCTTCATCTTCTTGGTCTTCACCCTCTTCAGACGATTCTACAATTAAGAAATACTTCCAGAAGGGTACTCAGCAAAATGTTAACAATTTTTAACATAGGGAAGTTGGGAGAAAATAGATCTTCCCCTTTTTAAATTTATCTACTCTTAGATTATTCATGGAAAGAACTTATAATTCTTTTGCAACATTAAACAAAGATTTTTTAAAACGAGGTAAAAAATGATAAAATTAAAAACTAGAAGAAGGAAAAAAAGGAAGTAGAGAAACAAGTTTGAAGGCTACTGTTAGCAAGCACCAAACTAAAGTTTATAGTGTTCCTGAGAATTTCATTAACACGGGTGATTATACTTAAATTTCCAAGTGAATGTGACATGTTGACAAGCTTAGCTTAGCTTGTCAACACTTGCCTCACTTAGCTTCTGTCTTTTAAACTTAAGTTTGACTTTCCATCCAGCCCTCTGGCTGTCATCTAGTTACATGGCACATAACTCAATCTACCTATGATAATAGCAAAATATCCTCACCAAAACATTTAAAATACATTTCGGAACACTGGTTTTCCCTCAAGAAAAGTTCCAATAGATTTTGTTAATAAGTCTTAAATGGAATAACAAAACTTAGCTTTAATCATCTTCTAACTAAAATAGAGAGATAAATGATATGTCATCTGTAGTAAATATACATATAAGCAAACCAATGTTATTTGATTTAGAATTGATTTGTTACTTTACCAAAACAAAACATACCATCCTTTTAAGCTCTTCCCTGCCCCCACTTTTTTCTTTTAAATTATTATTAATAGTCTGATCTGTTACAAACTACCATAAATGTCATAATTTCTAAATAAAAAGGCTATTTCCTGCTAAATAAAGTTCTTAAACT